CTGCCCTGTAAAGTGTATCTTCTTTGGAAAACTGGAAGCACTGAGACCAGAGTGCCAGATTAGTACAATCTGTATATACAAAATGGCTTATGATCCATATACTAGCATCTCTGGTGGTATGAGGTGCATGATGCTTATGCCTGGACAACTGCTCTTCATTGAAGTTGAAAGAAACCATTTATGATACAGACCAGTTAAGAGTCAGCTTGAAGGTGCACAAAATGTGGGCTACCATCGATAGATACCAGCCTTGACAAAAGGGATTATGCTTGATATAATTTATCAAACAGCATTTGGATTCAACACAGATCAAGAGTAATAGATGATGCTACACTGGATACTAGCACCAGAATTCTTAGATCAGCTCAAAGTTACAAAGCTCAATGGACAAGAACCAACCACCAGAAGAAGGTTTCCCAGTAGCCACTCTTGACAACAGGGAGGTTATGGGTTCTTTAAGTCAAGCTCAGGGTCAAAAAGATCACAGAGGTTGTGAAAAGACTGTTATGACCTGAAACAGTGGTCAGGAAAGGGGATGGAATCAATAGCAAGGTGAACAGAGTCAAGAGTCATCGAGATCTATAGCACAGAAACAGGCTCTTCAGCCTATTGTGCCCGTGCTAGTCAAAAACAACCACTTAACTCTTCTGCACTGGAATACAACCTCAGGAATGCAATGGAACACAATACGAGGGAAGATCATGAACCACCAGGATTGTGTGCAGTTGTTGAAGCAGTTCACGATAGAACTGGAGTCCCTTGAAATGAAAACAAAAGTTTTAATGGATTTTGGTGATGAACATCAACTCTACTATCTGGGTAGATTGCTGAAAAGTCTGTGGGATGTCTTGACCATATCTGCTATTTGATGCTCACTGATAGATTTTAAACAACAGTTGGCTGTTCCTTAGTTATCTCATGTTAATTCTGGATGCTAGAATATAAAGCTGTACATAGAAAAGTGTCTACCATTGTAAAGTTTAAATTTGTTTGTTTAAAACTGTGGAATCTCGTAGCTTTATCCTTTTAATAATTATCCAGGATTTTAAAATTCATCTATTTAAAACAAGTTACCAGATTTGACTGCTTGTCTGGAGTTAAAAACAAAAAAAAACAGCAGAAAGTAGAAGATTTGTTTATTTATTTAATACATTGTCATTTGTAACTAGGTACAGTGAAAAGCGGATAATGTCACCACGTTCCGGCAACTTTTGGATTACAGAATATATTATTGAATAAATTGTATAAATGGTTAAATACTGAATAAATTAATTAAATTGATATTAGTAAAACTGAAACAACTTCAGAAGTTCATTTCTCCCCTCTCTATAGACTTGAGCCTCTCTGCTCCTCCAGTCACTGCAGTCCGTTCCTGACACTGTGCTCCTTTTTTAAGCCGCCACCTCGGAGCTGGAGACGGTCACCCTGTGCGGGTCCCACACCTCTACCAACACTGGACATCAACTTCTTCCGATGCCGCCACCCAAGATAGAGCAAGGATGGAGATACACAGTGGGGGGGGTCCTGACCCCCAGCAGGGGGCACATCAAGAGGCAGCTTCAGGGCAACCAAAACAAAAATAGAAGTTACCAAGCTGGAAAGACAATGATGAAACAAGCCATGTGGATTTGCCAGAACCCAAACACTGCTAATCCCGCTGTCACCATCTTGGAAGTTCCTTCGTGAAAAGAAGCATTGAAGTCGAGATAGATATGCTGTGTGCACATATACCTTGTATTGATGCAGATAAGGGACCATATTTCAATTTCAGAAGGCATTTGATAAGGTGCTACAAAAGTTCTTGAAAATAAAAACTCATAGCGTAAGGGGTAATATGATGTGGGCAAAGATTGCCCAGATAAGAGGAAAAGGAGTATGGTTAGTGAGTGTTGGGGTCTCAACTTTTTATTTTAAACAATTTATATAAATAACTTGGACGAAATTACTAGAGGCATGGTTGAGAGATTTGCTGATGACACAGCTAGCTAGAAAAGGTACATTATGAAAAGGATATAAAAGGAGGACACAAAAGAATACAAATGGATTGTAAATGGGTAACGAGTTAGCAAATTGAGTATATGTGGAAAATAAGATATTAACCATTTTAGCAGAAAGAAAATGTAACATTGTCTACATGATAAGAGGTTGTAAAGCTGGGATGCAGAGGGGTCTGGATGCCCTGGTGCATGAATTGCAAAAGATTAGAATGCAGGAATAGCAAGTAATTAGGAATGTTAATAGAATGCTATAATTTATTGCAAAAAGAGAATTGAATACAAATTGAATGTGTCTGAAGCAGTTGAGAAAGTTTGGCAGATTAATACTTGGAATGGGCATATTGCTTATAAGGGAAGGTGGGATAGCTAAGCTTAGGCAACCACAGGAGCTTCAAAGAGTACAAGCGATATTGACAGCATTGATGCGCAAAGGATACATCTTATTGTGAGCGAATATAGAACTAGGAATCACTGTTTCAAAATAAGGGGTTGCCCATTTAAGAGTGAAATAAGGAGATTTATTTTCACAGAGTCATCTATCTCTGGAGCTCTTCTTTTGGCAGAGGTATATAGATTCTTGATATGCAAGGGGGTGAAAGGTTATCATGGCAGGCAGTAATGTGGAATAATCTTACTCAATCATTGAGAGGTTGAATGAACTGTATCCATCACGGTCTATAAAAAAAAACTGGCCATCATCTGTTTTGTTTCAGATTCTCCGAAGTGATCTGTATTTTGTTTCTCTTTAAAATTATTCATTCAAGAATGTGTGTATATTGGCTGTCATTATTTCACGGTGGGGGTTGGGGGGGGTGGTGGGCAGGGAGCTGACAGATCTGGACAGTTAGCATTCCTGCACAGCCTGCGGAGCTGTTAATCCCAGTCACAAAGCTCTAAAAAATATGAGTTAACACTGTACTTGGAGTTGCTCAGGCAATGTGAGGAATGCCAGTTACGTATTCAATCCTCTGTATATGTATTGTCATTAGGCAAGGTCTGCAAAGGGGCAATGTAAATCATTAAAAGTTTTCTTTTCATGACAAAGATGAAGCATTTATAAATAATTATATGGCTGCAAGAACTAAATCATCTTTATTTTGCAGAATATTTGGTGTACTTCTTAAATTCTACAACATATTGAGCAAAATACAATTCATAAGAGGAGCCAGGCCATTCAAAAGTAAAATCAGGAAGCAGTTTCTCCATACAAAGCTTAGTGGATATCTGGCTTTTGCATCAATAAAAACAGTAAGAGATGTAGATGCTGGTGCAGAATTTTAATTGGAGCTTTTGAGATGGAGGCCGATAAATTTGAGCCAGGTAAGGGCATCAAGAAAAGGTGGGGGATTAGAAATCAGATACAGAGAATGCTCATTTGGATATGTATAATTTGATTGGTAATACAGGCTCAACACCTCATCCTGTGGTGCAACTCCACCACAAGGAGGCATATTGAGTCTATACTAGCAATCACATGGGTCATTGTTAGAGACAGGATCTGTGCCATTGCTGGAAGTAACTAAAAAGAGTGGCAACTGCTTTGCAACATTAAACTGAAGGCTAGAGTTATACATTGTTAACCAGGAGTATCCAGGCAATAGTTTGATATGGACTAAGTTAGTGGCAAAGGTGTGAAATTGTTTGGGACTTCATGGAAGGCACAGCGAAGAGTGGTAATGAGGTTGAGGGAAGTGTTAGTGCCAGAGCAGGTGGCAAGAAGCTATTTGCAGGAGAGAGCACTTGAGAGAATGGAGTGCATTCAATTTAACTTTGCTAATACCCAATAACAAAAGGCAGATCAGGTTAACATGAATCAAGCAGGAAATGACCAAGTGGAGATGGCCTTGTCTGTAAACGAGAGCTATAGCTTACGGAGACAGCATTGAGAATGAGTTGGAGTAAAGACAGCAGAATAATAATAGTGTACAGAGCAGCATTTCATAACCAACTGAATTCTTCAAGGAGGGAATACTGCTTAGTTCAGACTCAGTGAGATCATTCATTCCATGTTAGCTCTTCAAATGAAGTAGCTTGCTCATCTTACTTGATCTACCATTCCCCTTCTTTCGTATATCTTCCCTTTCCAAAGTATTTATCCCATTCACTTCAAAATAATGTCTTTGGTGTCAGTTTCATGGCAAAATGTTTCTTTCAGCTATCCCTTTCATGCTTCCTGTTCAAATCCTCCATCTAAACCCCATCATAGGATCAACAAGTTGCAGGGAGGTAGAAGGGTTGGGAGGTTTTTTTTTGGGGGGGGGGCGGCAGAGGAGGAGGGGGGCAGGGAGCTCAAAGCAAAGCATCGGCTTAGATGATTCCATTCCATTCAAATCAATGTCTTCCCTTACTTTGACAATGAAGGAACAATGACACCTGCAGGAGAATTTGCAGCAGTGCAGATCATTTTAAAAAATTTTAAAGTATAAATCGATGTTTGTAAAGTTTGAAGTTGCAGTTTGTCACTGGAGAGTCAGCAAATACTTCATTTAGATTAGCTTAACTCAGTCTCTGCATTACCATGATGACCTAATTTTGCTCAACAGCTCTTCAGTGCATATTTTTACAAGGTTAAAGGCACTGTGTAAACAAAATATACCGTCGTTCAAACATTGGGCCATTTCCTCTTCTGTTTACAAGAATTCAGTGAATAGAATAGAATATCCTTTTATTGTCATGTCTACTCCATTGTAGGAGTACAGTGAAAAGCTTTCACAATGTCTGCCTTCTTATAGCGACATCTTGGGTACGAGTACATCAGTACAATCTTGGACACAGCACAGGAATAAAAATGGCTGCATCACAGAGTTGAAAATAAGTTAAAAATACGACATCATTAAAGGGTTGACATTTCAGTAAAATAGAAAATCTCGAATAGATATTACAGTGTAGCAGCACTACTTGCATTATCAGTTAACTGGTGCAGACATGACCTACAGCAGTTCTCTTGCCTGATAAGCCACTTCAGTTCTGCAATAAAAAAACAAACCTCACAACTTCCAAGCATAGAATTAAAACTTTTATTTCTCAATATATTAGACACAAAAAACAATGGATCAAAATAAATTGATCATGCACGTGAATACAAAAAATAAAAATAAAATTGCCAAAATACCACATTTACGAATTGGGACATATCACTTTTCCCTATACTGGTTTCAGCAGTACCAGGGCACTGGAATGACAAGTGCTAAAATAAAACAAACTGAATTTCTGCCTACTACTGAACACCATGCTCACATTTAAATTCCCCACTCATGTCAAACTTAATTCAATGATATACAAATCTGTTAAAACATCATCAAAAAATTATCAAAGTTAGAAAGAACCCACAAGTTAGTTAATTGCTTTTTGCTAGTTATTGACAAGAACTTCAGCAGTATAGGGTTGCAGTTTGCAAGCTTACTGCTGCACAATTTTCAATGGAAAAGAGTTACAGTTTCAAACCACAGATTAAACTGAATAGTAAGTACAGGGTGTTTACCTTCAGGTTGTTTAATATTTCAGTGTTCTGAATTCTAGGACAGTTTTCATCTTAGCTCAGCACTCACTCTCAGTGCCTTTGGCCACGAATCCTGTGTTCAAACAGTCTGCAGCACAAGAGCTTTCAATGGTTATAAAAAAGGGCCCCTGAAATTGTTTGGTCTGATGTTCCATAGTAAAAGGGACCAACTGTGCACTGCATAAATGAAGGTACAAGTGAATAGCTGCATGATTCAGGAAATACACATATTTTGAGAGGTAGAATTGGTACAAAGGTCATTTAAAACCTGCAAGCCTATTTCAGAAAAATCCACGAACCGTCCAACTTAGCTCAGATGTAATCTTGATCCCAATCCCCACCTAAGCACATGTGCAATTGGAAAGCTTTCAGAATTAATATTTTTCCACTTGTACAGATAGTATAACAAATTGTAGTTGAAGGAAAGGCCGCAGTGGCTTCTGATAATCTCACATTAATGTTTCACTGCAGAATCACTAGGGATGTTCAAGAATGAAGTGGATAACTCGCTAAATGGTCAAATCCAGGGAACTATGATTTGACTAGGCATTTGTATATTTTAGGTTCAAGGGTAATGCCTTAGGAGAAAAAGCCTTCAGTTTATAATGTCTTCCACTACCTTCAGACAACCCAAAGCAAAGCAAAACAAAGCAATCTCCAGTTAATGAAGTGCTTTTTTAAGTTTGGTCACTATTGCAATACAAGTACAATGTAATTTCTATTAACAAAGTGTAATAGCTGGAGCACGACATCCAATTTTTATATTAATGCTGCACTTCCTGTGACATTGCTCGCTGTTAAGATTGAACAGAAGGACTATTATTTGGTCAGGGGCATTGCACCAAGTGACCTTCCAAGGCTATATAAATGTAATGGCTTGCAAGTAAATAGTCTTCATTCAAGGATCAAATAAAAAGGTTTCTTTTAAAAAAAAACAGATTTCATTGAGATTAAGGAAACAGACAATGTTTCTGGTGTTTTCTTTATAAATGCTTTTTCAAGCCAAATTGAGACAGCAAGTTGAATGTAGTACAGAAAATGCATTGGGCAGGAAATACACATTAGATGCGTGTTTCTTTAAAAAAAAAACTGCCAAATTTCATGTGGAATTGTTCACTGCAAATTACGAGATAGTCATACCAAGCACTATATTTACATAAGATAGGGACGGTGTTTTTGCCTCAAGACTGCAAAAATCTGTTAGGATCATTTAACTCATTCAACCCTTGTGACAATTTTTTCAACTCGTTCAGTTGAGACAAAAATAGTTAAGATGACGAAGTGAATTATTACGTTGATTATATTGATTTTACCAATAACAGGTTGTTTATCATACAATAATAAGCAAGTGATACACTAAACTGGGAGTTCAAATGCATCCATATTTTAATATTCCTTCAAAACCTGCTCGGCTTTTGTACCAAGACTACCAGAAAAAGACTGCACTGAAATATTTAACCACTGAAGCAAAGTAATTGGTGGATTTGTTAGAAAATCAAGAGACCAGCTACTTGATATTAGGGGAAGAAATGCTATCAACACCTAGCAAGCACTGCAAAAGGTCTTCTTTCAAAGAATCCATTTCCAAGTGCTCAACCATCAACTTATTTGGCACTGCTGAACAGGTTGAATAATGTTAGGAATGAATGATGCTGACATGCCTTATTGAACAGATTAGGCACGGGGAGCTAAGGGACCAAACACGCTAGGGCAAGCAAATGTACTGCAAACTTAAGGCACAAATCTTCCTACTGTTGTGCTTCTACCATGTATACTCTGAACAGGGACCAACTTGTTTACACCAGAAACAAAATATACAAATCATTAAATATTTTTATCCATTGCGAGAGCCTAAATTTCACCTTCACTGACAGCCAGCTACATGGTCCCAGATCCAGAGGCACAAAGTTTCCTGAAACTCAATTTTAAAAAGGATATAGCACGTCATAGAAAGCATTTCATTTTGTAAACTTGTCCCATCAGTTTTAGCACTCCTGATTCTACATTAGAATCTGTGACGAAACAACTCTGGATGCCCTGTGGAAGGCTGGAGGTGGTGCATGCCAGCTGGTATTGACAACTGATGTAGCACTCTGATCAAGGAGAGTTCCTTACAGCAGTGATCAGAGATTGCGCTGGTTTGACACGTCATGAATTAACAGCAGTGTCTCCATATTCCTCATTCCAGCGTTTGTACCCCTCTAGAGTCTGAGGGCCTACACTGCGCTTGATCTTTCTCCGTGAATCTTCAAAGTCTGACAGTTTGATCTTTCTCACCTGGACAGACAAAGAATACAAGGTACAATGGCACATCTGGCTAAGCAGCATGTAATCACACACAACATACCCTTGCTTCTCAAAATCACTGCACACCAATCTTATCCTTAAAAACATATCAAACAATCAGTTATTGATGGTTCTTATTAGTAAATTTGTTAGTAAAACAGCTAAATTATCAAAATCCCTGTCTCCAAAATGCTCTAGAATGAAGCACTCTGTTGTGTGCAAAAATATGACATAAATATCAACAATTTTACACATGGGGATGTTTTACTCATAGGAATAGAAGTGAAGTTACCTCGCTAGCAGCCATATTTCTCACTTCTTCTGGCTTGAGCTCTGAGGGAAAACAAAAACTCACTAACTCTTACAATACAAAAAGTTCAAACCCAAGTAGCTGAAATAAATAAACAAATGCAAAACCACAGCATTTTCAGAGACCAGGAGTGTCCGTGAGAGTGTTATACTTGTTGTAAAAGACCAATTGATTCACTCAATACTTTAGGGAAGAAAGTTTCCTTTTCTCACCCAGTTTACTCCTGTGAGAGACTCCAGTCCTTCAGCAATATGGCTGACTAACCAATCTCTGACAAATTGATCTCGGAAGTGGCCTAGCAATAATTCAGTTGTTTCAAACAACCACTACTACCTTTCAATGGCAGTTATGGATGAGCAACAAACACTTGCTTTGTCACGGACACCCATAATCCAGAGAATTAATTTGAAAAAGAACAGAATATCAGTACATCAGCTGATATGCCAGGATTGAAGATTTCAATGTCGTGGCAGAAACAATAGCAAACAGAACCTCCCATGTGCAGCAGAGTTGATTCTCCATTAAATACAACTGAATGGGAAATAGTTACACAATAGAGATGAAGTGGGCAATCTCAGTCACTTCTAACAGCTTCTTTCAGTTAGGATCCCATTCAATACAGCTTCAGCTATCAGAATTGGAGAATAAAGTGCTAGTTAAAAAGGCATAAGTGGATCAAGCTGAAGAAGTAATGTGTCCAATTCTGGGCACTACACCTTTGGAAGTCAGTCAAGACCTTTATGATGTAGAACACATTTACTAGAATGGTACCAAAATAAAAGGGTTAAATTATGCATAGAAATTGGGAAGCGGGGGGGGCGGTGGTGGTGTTTTCCTTAGAGTAGAGAAAACATGGAAACTTCAGTGTTCAAAATTATGAATGGTTTTAATGTAACAGATGAGGAGAAGTGTTTCCAGAGGCAGCAGCATCACTAACTACAGGACACAGATTAAGATAATCAGCCTAAGAACCAAAAGAGACAGAGGAAGATTTAAAAAAAAATGCTGTGAATCATGATGATCTGGAACTCACTAACAAATTTCCAAAGGCAACCACAGAAACATGCAAAGTTCTGAGGTTAAAGCACAGGAATGGTATTGATGGGAATAGGAAAGAACCAATACAGGCACCTTGGGTAGAATGACCATCTTCTATGCTGTAGCTTTCTACCTTGTAACACATCACATACCTCGAATTGGACCCAGCGCTGCATCCTTCGCTAGCGCAGTCAGATCACTCCCTGAATACCCTTCTGTCTGCCTGTAAAGCGGAATGGGAAGATATAATATATGTACAAACATGCAGACAATATGATGGAGCACTTGTTGAAAATATTCAGTCTTTTGCATTTAACAGAAACCAGAAAAGATGTTGCTGACAGTCAGAATCTTTCCCCGCAGAGTTGAAATGTTTAATACTAGGGGCATGTTCAAAGGAGATGTGAGGGCAAGTTTTTTGTTTAAAAACAGAGTTTTAGGAGTCTGGAACGCATTGCCAGGGGTGGTGGTAGAGGCAGATATGATAAGGGCATTTAAGGGACTTTTAGATAAGCACATGAATATGCAAGGAATGGAGGGATATGGATCAAGGGTAGGCAGAAGGGATTAATTTCATTTGGTGTCATGTTCGGCACAACACC